CCTCAACAAATGTGGCTGGATCTGCTTCAGCACACTCTCAATCGACATAAAACTAACGTTTCAATCTGCCAACCTGCCCAGACTCTGAAGTGTCGTTGACTTGGGCCTGAGGTACTCTAGTGATCTAACATTTTCTGATCAAATGGCATCACAGACTCGAAAGTCTAGGATGCTCTTGGAATGCAAACTCAGGAACTTTCACGACAATGAACCTAGGCTCACTCTACACAAAACATGTGTGAGGCTACTGCTAGGGTACTGTCCATTTATTATTAGCAGCACTCGCATATGTGACAAGCTGAGGATGGAAAATATCAAACGATATTTCACTTCCAAGCAAATTTGATACGACTGTAAGAAAGACTACATTTCACGGCGTGTGACTCTAAATTTTTACTCACTTTGGACGAAACGACTTATTATAAACCTGATATTCTTCTTTAGTGTTCTACACAAAATATCATTCTCAGGCAATAAAGACATTCAGTTCTCGCCAGAAGGCTCTTACGATCCGCGTTATCAAACTTTCACAGTGAGAATAAAAGCTTTTAAATCATCACCCTGCGAAAAATCCTTCACAGTAATGTATTCTAAAATATGGAACAGTCCACCCCTCGGTTATAATTTTCAAACGCTCTCCGTACAGATGGTTTCATTCTACTGATTACATTGGCAGACTATTTATTTCTAGAACGAATCAATTTCTAGGATACTACAGTACTTAGAGAACGCGTGAAACTTAACTGATTGCATGATGTATAAAAAAGCTTAGTAGAAGTAAATATATAGGTTTGCTAGACTGCAATGTACAATGAATATAAACGTGTCTACACAGAAATTAAGGTTCTTTATATGGCCGAACACTTTTTCTTTCCTCTGTAGTACTTTGCTGCTGCCAAATTCCTTTTCTAATTGCCTTGTAGTGGAAGTTGCACAGGTCTATAGTAAGCCTGAAGTTGAACAGGACTTAAAGCCACTTACTCTTAAATACAATACTATCCTTCAAGCTGTTGTCTCTCAAAAACTCAACATTAAAAAACTTCCATGTCACAATATCAGGACTCAATATAGCGTCCTATACGAGCAGTATGCATGACACGAAATGGTTTATAAATGATTTATTACATCTAAGTCAGCTAAATTGCTCAGAACAACATGTGTAATGCACTGTAAGTTGGACGGTCTTCCAATGTTTAAACTATGCTTGTTTTATTTCAGGTTGGCTGTGTAGCGTGCAGGAATTTGCCACCCAAGACGATACAATGGATGGCCACTGGGAATACCCCTTCCCTCCCACCTAATTGTATTATGATTGGTTGTAAATATAATCCTTGACCTTGAGCTCCCGTTCTCACTAGTGCGTGGCACTTGTGTTATCGCAGAGCCAATGTGAGCTTTGTCCTCTGTTTTAGATCATTGCTTGACGTTTGGCACTTCACATGAAGCTTGAAATGGCAGCTGACTCGGTCGTGGTAAAACAAATCTGCCTTACAATGGCTGATACTCATCTGCATGGAGTGCAATTCAATTCTGATGTTACCTGCGATAAAAATGCTGAGAACATTATTCAAATATATCACTTATTTTAAATTAATACCCAATTTGGATACAAATCAAGAATAAGATTCGATGCCGTACACAGCAAAGTTACATGGGGAAACGACTCCAAGCTTTATCTTTTTCCCAAGTATCTGTAATCCGTCCAGCACATATTTGGGTCTTTTATTAATGCGAAGAAAGTATCCCCATACTCCTTCATGTGCTCCACTGAATGATTAGTTAACAGATCTTTCCCACAATCTGAAGCCGAAAAGATAGCAACCATGTAAATCTACCATAAACCGGATTTATGTAATTTAAATAATACTTATCCATGCCTGTAAAACCGGTGTGTTCATATATAGATAGAAATAGATGTATTATTATTCATTGATTACCTTCGGATTAACCAGTAAACTTAGAGTGATGTTCACCACCCAATATAGACTGATGAATTCTTGTGGGCAATTAATAATAGCCATGGGGAATCGTTTACTAATACACTGTTTAGTATGGTTAAGAGCTTACTGTGTAACAGCAGAAGGCAAGAGTCAGGCAACAGATAATTTATTAAGGAAATCAACGCATATTTATATATTTTCGTGTACATTATTATGGATATTTAAGCAAACAAACGCAGTCTTCCGATTGGTTGTTTCTCACGTGAAGTTAATCTTTCATCTATTTGTGACTGTTTCTTGAATGTCAAATCCTCTATATGTTAACTGCATCCGCCTACGCAAAGTTAATCTTTGTTCACATTTTCTCACGACAAATCTTGGGAACGTAAATATTGACGTAAATTACTGTCTACCAATTTGGCTAGTAGACAGCTCTCACCACAACTGTAGAAATGTGGGCATGATATTTCTCTGCGATTTACTACACATTCGATATAGTCAGTTGTGAAGTTATTGAATATCTTCAAGAGACTTTTGTGAACAACGTCTTTCTTCAGAGAACAACTAAAATAGGGCCGCCAGTGTAACATTTCACCGTACATGTCAAATTTTTCCTCTCCTCTGCCTTACAGGCAAACTTTATTGATAAAAATGAGTGATCTGATTGTCGGAGTTTGGAAATTAACTTTAGAGAAAGTGTAATGGTGTACTTTGACAAGCTGTCTTACTCCGTGTATTGAATGCGTACAGAAGTGTTGTTTTCTGTTGGAAAACTAACTTAGTCAGTTTTTGCCATCCGTGGGTTGATAAGATCAACACATTTTAATGAAGAAGTAGCGCAGTGAACTGATAAACTTTTCAGAGCTTGCAAGTTAGCACTTAAGAATATATATATATAGGGTACTGCATTGAGTATTCGCTATACCACTTAAGTAGTGTATCAGGCTACCAGCCGTCATTTCAGAAGGAAGATATGTTTATAAAGGGTAAGCGACATAACAGTAAAATAATGCTATCGTCTGAGACCAGGCAATTATATAACACTGCTAGAAATAAAGCTATTGCAGAAATCCGCTAATCAAGGGTGAAATTCGAAGCACACCTGGCTCAAAATGCAAAGGCACAACCTAAGAAATTTTCTCGTACATGAACTTCAGGAATAAAACATCCAATGGTGTCCCAAACCTGACTATTGACAATGATACAATCGAAGAAGATCAAGAAAAAGCAGAAGCAATGGCAAACTACTTCTCCCAAGTCTTCACTCAGAAGTCGTCACTGCCTATAGGATCAGCTCTGGCTGCATCAGAAGAACATGGGATGGATTCCGTTGACATCAACCAAGGCATCGTGCTCAACTGCCTAAGGAAACTAGATGCAGGGAAATCAATGGGTCCTGATAATCTTCATCCAAGGCTTCTCAAGGAGCTATCAGCCCACATAGCCGGCCCTTTGACTACGATCTTCAAGCTTTCTCTCCTAAATGGAGTGTTACCGTGTGACTGGAAAGACGCCATAGTAACCCCCATCCACAAAGGAGGATCAAGACAAAGCCCTTCAAATTACAGGCCTATCAGTCTCACCAGCACTTTAATCAAGACACTGAATAGAATCATCGAGAAAAGCATTATGGCATATCTAGAAAATAGAAGCTTATTATCTAGAGCACAGCATGGCTTCCGAAGGAACCTTTCATGCCTGTCAAATCTTCTCACTGCAAGAGAAAGCTGGGTCAAAGCCAGGGACAACAGAAGACCCGTTGACGTCGTCTTCATAGACTTCAGCAAAGCCTATTTATTTTTGTATATCAATGGGTTATCTCTGCTCACCGACTCCCCTATGGTCCTATAAGTAGATGACTTAAAAATTTGGAAGAGCTGAAGGGCAACAGTGACACGTCCACGTTGCAAGAGGACCTCAACAAATTGTCAGAGTGGTCCATAGAATGGATGTTCCCGATCAATGTGGCAAAATGTGCAACCATGCGCATTGGACAAGCAAGCACGAGCTCTTATGAACTAGAGGGAATTACACTTCCATCAGTTCAGACTCACTTGGACTTAGGTGCCATAGTTAGCCACGACTTAAAAACCACAGCACACTGTCGCGCAGTGGCTGCACGTAGTTTCAGGTCATTATGGGCAATTCGTAGAGCCTTCACTAGAATCACCAGAGATATGTTCACCTCCTTATATACATCTCTGGTGAGGTCAAGACTGGAAAACTGCATCCAGGCCGCCAGCCCTTGTCTAAAAGGGAACTCACACATTCTAGAAAGGGTTCAAAGGAAAGCAACACGTATGATTCATGGCATGACTAACTTATCATACGAGGAAAGACTAGACAGTTTAAATCTCTTCTCCTTGTCATACCGTAGGCAGAGAGGAGATTTAATCACAATGTTTAAAACTTTAAATAATGACTACGGACCTGACCTATTTTCTCTTTTCCTTCCCACCAGGTCGGACTACCTTAGAGGACATAGCAGGAAAGTTCAAAAGCCAAGAAGAAATCATATTGCTGTTGAGTACTGGTTCTCACACCGAGTCATAAACTCATGGAATCAACTCCCAGAAGAAGTGGTGTCTGCAACCTCAGTTGATTCGTTCAAGAAGGGTTTGGACAACCACAGAAATTTACTAGAAAAGGATTAACATAGGCTCCAAGCCTTCCATCCTCAACCAATAAATCTGAATCTGATCTCCTCACGATCATAGACTGGAAATTAATGGCGTCATTTTCCATTTTCACTTCTTAGGAGGTATACCTCTTGTAACGTGTCATATGTTGAATTCGGATTTGGTACTTTTGTTATTTTCTCCTAGTGGAGGCATTACAAAGATTCACCTAAGCCACGTTTTTATGTGCTACAATTAGAATTCAAAATCTTTGCACTGTGAGTTTTACCTCTTGAGTCTAAGCCATCGATACCAGCTCCTTCGATCGACGCTTTAAATATAGAGCCCAATATATGCAGCGATTAATGTAGGCTACTTACAGCCTACTATTTCACCTCTCCAAAGGCCTTGCAGTGAATGTTGAACATTGAGTGTACTGTTATGCATATTGAATCTTGCATGAACGTGGCTATTTTGAATATTTTGTGTCTCAGAGGTTTGTTCATTAATTAGGTATTACATACTGTCAGTTTTCATAAGCTCTACTATAATAATAATAAGTTTCACTTAGAGTACTGCGGATGCAATCAGTATGATTAGAAATTCTGATGCATGCGTGTCAAAGGAGTTAAGTCCTTCTGAATCAATCTTTTGTACCTGTGTTTACAGCAAACATGCTTCGTAGCACACCAATAACCGATCACTTTTGCGCTCCACGGATTCATCCAAGGAGAGTTTGGACAGAAATTTACTTGAAAAGGGTTACCATAGGCTTCAAACCTTCTATCATCAACCAATAAATGTGAATCTGTAGTGCTATGCTAAAAATAGATAAGCCTATCAGGTTAAATTTAATGTATTGTACTCATTTGTGTTTCTGAAACTAACTTAGGTGTAGTCAGATTGAGTTACAACATAGAACCTTTCAGACTAAGGTTGACAAAAGAGAAAGAAGATTCAGAACTGAAACGTGAAAGAGAGTGTGGGAGAATATTGGCGGTTTAGTAGGTATGGGAGATCGCACAGAGTCAATTCTAGTCCATATCATCAATAGTCGTGAAATTTCCTGATTTCTGTTGCCATTCGAAAGGTGCAGTGTTCAATCCATTTATGCGATCTACCGATGCAAACTAGGTACATTCCCGCAATCGTGCTTTATGTCAATCTTACGTACTATTAAACTTTTGGGTTGCATGTTCAAATATGTCCTCTTCCAGTGCAGACGCCTGCACCAAATACCTTTGCGATTATGTTTTTTCTTAGGAATAGATGACTAATTTACCACTGTATAAGTCACTAATTTTATGACTGCTGATGTTACCAGCCAGTTTAAAAATTCTAATTTTCCAGTAACAGTGATAAACCCAACTGTTATTTTGCTGACTTAATATAGACTCTTCGCTCATTCTGAAGTTTCTTTACTCACTTAGTTTATGTTTATAATATAGTTAAAAATATGTAGGTGTCGAAAACTAACAGTTTTTTCCTAAAATCAAATGTCTGACTTTCTCCGGCAACTGTAGATCTGTTGACTATCAAGCTTTCTCATCAGAAACTTAATGTCTTCTTAAGCCATCATCTTTATTGTGAATATTTCTGAATTATCCGAAGTACAAATCAAGAATTTTATTAACGCCAAATTCATTGTTGAACTCAGAATTACCCTTCAGCTACAATTAAAGTTATAAGTCTGACTGGTGATTCTTAAAATGAAGCACTATTTTTCGCGGCGTGAACAACGATATTGACAAAGCATTTCTGCAACGCATAGTTCATTTTGTTTGTGTAGGATTATGTTGCAGGGTTCGTCTGCGTCAACTTCTAGTTACAAATATACGGCGTGACACGGTAAAGCATATTGACCACTCATTTGGGAAGTTGCAGCAACCCGCACTAACTGGCTTCAGCTGCACAGACGACTTTGAACCATATCACCAATTGTCTCCAGCCTTCGGTTTTTGCCATCCCAAGGACCATAACCAGAAAGTCTACATCTCCAGACGTGGCTTAAACTAACTGTTATGAAATTCATTGGCTGATGCCATGTTTTGGCTTGACCACCACTACGTGCTACCTCTTTGCCAACCTGATCCATCTTATGTCAGCTGACGTTGCCCGTCGAGGGAGACGATGGCTAGGCATGAGCAACATATGTCGTAACCATATCAATCAGTGTAACTTCACAACTTCGTCGATTGATTTTCTCTCCTTAACTAGCACTCGACACATAAACTCATTATAGCTCACCTTATTACACCATTTAACACGGGATATAGAACGCAGACACCTATGAACAAAGACAGCCAGTCTTTTCTTGTCTTTCACTTTCGATGGCCATGTCCCACAGCCATAAAGGAAGACTGAGCAAACTGCAGAGCAGTGCACATGCCCTTTGGTCGACAGCCGCACATCACGTCTATTAAGTCAGAGATGGCGTAAGTTGGCGTATATTAAACGAGCCTTTTGAATCCGTGCTGAGATATCATCGGAGATCAGTCCGTTGGGGCTACATTGACTGAAATAGGTAGGACAGGTGTTACTTATTCAGAGCTATTACCTTCCTCGTCAAGCAATGTTAGCTGACATATGGTTGAGTTAGCAAAGGGGTAGGGATGGTCAAATCAGAATTTGGATTCAGTTCATGATGTATTGGATTGTTGGTTGACTTGAGCTATATGGAGGGATGTAGACTATTGGACTGAACTCGAAATGCTGAAAACCGATATCTGGAATCTACTGATAGCATGGCTCAAAAATGTTCTTCGCGAAGCAGATGCGTTTACTATCTATTACCTGCCAGATCTATTAGGTTCTCACGTTTCTCCGAGCACTTATCCTTTCCCCTGTTCGTTGTAGTTTCCTTTAATTTTCTCTCTGAATCTGTTTACTTTATAGGGCGTGGCTACTTGCTGCACTTTTGAGCTAAGTCCTACTTTGGAATTCAGTCAGCTTGTCTGCATTTATTTAAAACTTCTGATTTTTTCAGCTGGCATTAGTCATTTTAAGCTGCTTCAAGCTCACTTTAGCTTTACTTGGGACAGCTTTTGATTCTTCACTGGTGTGACAAATTGTACACCTCCAGTTGTTAATTTGCTAGTTGTTAACTCATTGGTTTTGTTCAATGGTTTATGCTGTTAACAACTGTAGTTTGAACCTCACCTTTTCTGTCCCGGCGAAGCGGTAGTATCATCGACTGTTTGACTAAATATGACTTATTGCCAAGTGACTAAATAAATACTGAAAAATCTGAGTAGTTCCAAAGATGGGATGTACCAACACTTACTAATAATCAAGATACTAGGGAACTTTTACTGGTTTGGTTAAATAAGTGTTCATGTAAGTCGATAGTGGATATCCGCAATTTAGCCGTATGAAAAAGTTGACTTTCTGAAGAGTCCTATGATGTTTAGTGGCTTTTAATCAACCTCTGATCGTCCTTACTTAGTGGTAAATACCATTACTACATCTCTCCCAATATTCAATTTTAATCTAGTTGTGTTTGAAAAACATTGGGCTACGTATGTGGATAAACTTCAGTGTGATAAGTATTATTTGTTCAGTGTAATATAAGCAAAATATCAGTTATATCACTATTAGTAATTTTTGCAGCTTGATTTGGTTTTTATCAATTTATTTGTTTGTTTTATTTACTGATCTCTATAATTTCACTTTCGACATTCTAGATGCCGCCTGTTGAAGAACCGCAGGCTGATAAACCGATCCAACCAAAAATTGGCATAATATATCCCCCACCTGAAGTAAGAAACATTGTAGACAAGACAGCCAGCTTTGTTGCGCGTAATGGCCCAGATTTCGAGTCTCGTATTCGTCAAAATGAAATAAGTAATCCTAAGTTTAATTTCCTGAATCCGGCTGATCCTTACCATGCTTACTATCAACATAAAGTCCGAGAGTTCGCTGAAGGAAGGACTCCAGAACCTTCTGCTATCAAGCTCACGATTCCTAGTGCTGCTCGTCTTACGCAGGATACTCCCAAGTCTATTCAAGAAACATTCACACCAAAAGATCCGCCTGCTGAATTTGAATTTATTTACGATCCGCCATCTATTAATGCAATCGATATTGATATAATAAAGCTTACGTCTCAGTTTGTTGCGAGAAACGGTCGTCAGTTTCTAACTCAGTTAATGAACAGAGAACAAAGAAACTATCAGTTTGATTTTCTGCGTGCACAGCACAGCATGTTTGGTTACTTCACAAAGCTTGTTGAACAGTATACTAAAATTTTAATACCACCGAAAGATATTGTTACGAAATTGGAGGAAGAATTGGAGAAGCCAAGACAACTTCTTGATGATGTAAAATACAGAGTTGAATGGCATAAGTACCAAGAACGTCAACGTAAGCGCGAAGAGGAAGCTGCAGAGCGTGAACGCGTTGCGTATGCTTTGATTGATTGGCATGACTTCGTAGTCGTAGAAACAGTTGACTTCCAGCCGAACGAAACAGGTAATTTCCCCTTACCGACTACCGCTGATGAAGTTGGGGCGCGTTTACTAGCAGAAGAGCGTGGCCTTCAACCACCACCTAAATCATCAGCGCCTCCTCCACCTGGTTCACTCGGATTAATGCCCACTGATTTAGACGAAGATGATGATGATCAAGATTTCGATGAATCAGATGATGAGAATGAGGATCGTCTAGTTGACGACAGTGATCGTAATCCTCCACCTTATTACACTGAATCAGGAAATCAAGCGACAAAAGATGTTCCTACTTCTCCAGCGGCCAACACAACTGATTTCGCTGAAGAGGACGATATGGAGTTATCTGATGATGAGGACGAGACTACAGAACCACCCACACAGGATTCCGACCAGCAAATAAAAACAGCCACAAAACAAGTACCGCTATCTTCAGATCAAGTCATTATTCGTCACGATTATGATCCGAAAGCTTCAAGTATTAAGAGAACAGAAGATTCTGTGTTGTTGGTATCTCCATTCACTGGAGAAAAGATTCCTGCCAACCAGGCTCCTAAACATATTAGAGTTGGACTGCTTGATCCTAAGTGGGTTGAGCAGCGTGATCGAGAGATTCGGGAGAAACGTGAGCAAGAGCAAGTTTATGCTGCTGGAAATTTGATCGACAGTAGCTTGAAGCAATTGGCTGAGCGTCGTACGGATATTTTTGGTGTAGGGGTTGACGAGATTCAGATTGGAAAGAAACTAGGCGAGCAAGAAGCAGTAAAATCGGATAAACTGATTTGGGATGGATACGCTGCAACCACAGATGTTGTTGCTAAAAGGAACTTAGAAGCAATCACTACAAAAGACAAGATAGAATTGTTAGAATTTCAGCAAAAGTTGGAAGCTGCTCGTGACAAGATTGGTCCACAAAGTGGTGTGCCTCCTGTTCCAGGTATTGCCCCTCCAGGAATGCCGAAACCATCAATACTGCTGCCACCACCACCACCGCCGCCGCCACCACATAGTGGAATTGCACCACCACCACCCCCTCCACCGCTTGTAATGCTTTCCAACGCACCACCACCACCACCGTTGCCTCCCGGACTATTTCCACCCGGTCTGCCACCACCTCCTCCTCCACCGGGCATAGCTGTTCCGAGTTTTATGCCTCCGCCCCCAGGTGTTCCCCCGCCACCAATCCCTTCCACAACAGCAGTCACTGATGGAGAACCAGAGGCCAAAAGACCAAGAGAATAAATAAGTAATCGTTGCTGAAAAACTATACTTTGTTCTGTACTTTACCAACTGGTCACTTCAAATATATTTTCACAACTTTTGATAAATGTAATTGCATGTCTTGTTTTTCCTTTGCTCATAGACTTTTCACTGCCGGTTTACTTTGTTCCTCCGGCGTTACTGGCCGTAGAAAATGTAGGAATATTTCTGTGGTTGGGGCCTGGTTTCATTGTAACCAAATATCACTCTCTATTTCTGAATTTAATTTATTTTATTTTTTCAACAGTGCGGCTCTCAAGATTTTGTCTTACGGTATTCGATGAGTTCCTGTTCTTCGCCTTCAGAGTTTTATACCTGAGTTCATACACCACTTTGGGAAATGATCAGACATTTTTATCATGTATTCCACATTTTAAGTTGTATAATTCCTCTTCACATACGAGTTTTCGAAATGGTCAAAACACTGCTGTCTACTATACATTGACTTTCCTCATTAATTATATTTGGATGATTAGTTTATATATATCATGTCTGCAATGAGGGGCGGTTATGTCGATTAGATTCCCGTTGGCACATCGTGATTCACTAGGTTGTATACTTTGTCTGGCATGTTTTAAAGTTGAAAGTGATGACTATAGTTGTACGCCTATCTGTTGTTCTTTGTTTTTAATACCACATTACGAGGAAAGCCTATTAAGCCAACTTGGACTAATCTGCGCTTCTATTTTGACCACTCACTTTATCTTGTTCATGTGCTTCGAACTATCAGAGTGATGTATAGCTCATTTCTTAGAGCGGTAGTAAGTCATCACTGAGAGTATATATTTATTTGCTTAAATGGATATAATCATGAACTGAGCCATACATATATGATAATAAAATAAAACTAGAAGTAGAGCAGGGAATATAGTCAAGTAAGTAGATTTACAAGGTAGGCGCAAAGAAGTATTCGTCACTTTTATGTTATACACATCAGCTGTAGAAGATTGCTGTAGAGTGTAGTGTGTTTCTAATTTGTTTTATGAAACAACTGAGTAAGCATATCTAAGGAATCGTGAAATAATTATAGATACTAACTTAGCAGAACTAATCGTTATCCTATCGTACAACTGACTCTTTGCACTTAACAGCCCGTCATACAACGAACAAGCACTAGGCATTTTGGAGACTTTAATATATGCCCAAGTATGAAGTGTAGAACCTTGGAATTATCTAGTAATGGCGATAGAGACGTGAACAATGCTATCAAAATTAACGATAGTTAAACACAGTTTGCAGACAATCTTGGACAGGCAGTTCTCACATATATGTAAAGCAGTAGTTTCTACACGGACGTTGTACGTATTTAGACGTGAGCAACTTGGTCATGGAACCAACTGAAGGATTACTATAACCTCTGTCACTTAAGGGACCCAAGTATTACTTTCATATGAAGTATTCTGATGCATTGGACACTAGTAGGTACATTTAAGATAAAACACTTGGCGAAGAGTAGGTGTCTGTTCTACACACTGTTTGGTTTCCTCCGGTCTGACTAGAGTTATTTCTGTCCACACGTGTACTTGTCATTTTTCTGTATTTTTATTTCCACTAAATTTTTGTTGTCCTAATGTAAAGTATGACTAATTAGCGTGATGCGCAATTATATCAGGTTTCATATTACTAACAGCTGACTTAATCTAATACTTATGAAAATCATACCGTACACTGCATCAGAGGCTGAATAAACGTATGTTTTCATCTTATTACTGATTCACTTAAGTGAATACAAGCAGATTATATCTCACTCCAAGATATCTAAAACTTCTATTGGAGTCGTAAGGACTGCTCATAACATCGTTTTGAGTTATTTAGGAGTGAAAAGTCGTTGAACACGTAAAATCAAGTCCACATTTCATAGATTCTGTACTGAGGGATTGTTTTACCTACTTTACTTAATAACCTCTGGAATACGAATGGAACTTAGGACTTCGACTTGGGCAGCACATCTATTACGACGCTCTCTTCTCTTCAGTTGTCTTTAGCTGTCTCCTCATTTGCGCGTAAGCTTCCATCTCCTCATCACACGATCTCCATGTCACCCTCGTACACCCAACTCTCCTTTTCCCACTCGATGGCTTGGTGCGCAGTGTCACTCAACAGTCTTCTCAGCCTATATACGATGCATCTCCGTTTCCTTCCACGTGTTTCTTAACCGATAGGTTCCTGGTTGATACGTTTCCAGAGTTTATCCTTTCTGGTCATCTAATCTTCGATATCGACTGAAGGTATCTGTTGATGAAAGTTTTCAGTAGGCCCTTCGAAATGCTTTCGGTAACGCTGTCACTAAGTCTCTGAACCATATAGAAGCGCTGAAAATCCGAATATTGTTCTTTATACTCCATTGCAGAAGATTTCTACACTGATTTCACAGTGGTGGATGTCTGGTTTTTCTTTTCCGATCCTGTTTTTGATACCCTCATCCGTGCGCGCGATGCTCCCTAGATAAGTGGATGAAGTAACGTCATTCGAAAATTTTTCCCGTTGATAGTGATGGTTTGCCTACTGATGTTGGTTAGATATCTTCATCGTCTCTGTCGACTTGAAGTCTTCCCTTCGCTGCCATTTGTGCCAACTTGTCAGTTTTCACGTGTAGATCTTGGAGTTTGTGTGACATTAAGCACAAGTTGTTCACGGAGTCCAAATTTTCTAGAGTTATCTTGTCAGTCCGAGGTATTCTTGTCTTTTCTCTCCCCACAGTCTGCCGCATGATCCAGCCTACCATAGTCGAGAATATCATCGGTGATAATAGGCAGGATTGTCTAACTCCTGTCTTTACTGTGTAAAGGATTTGCTGGGTTTTCCGTTGTGTGGACCACTTGACATGTGGCATTGTCATATATCTGTTAGATGAGGTTGACAGAGATCTTGGGCACTCCGTAGTGTTGTAACAGTCTCGAAACCACTTCTCAATCAACGCCGTCGGAGGTCTTTTCATAGTCGATGAGGTTAGGGCATAGATTTGACTTCCATTCTACGGTCTGTTTGAGCATAATTTGTAGCGTTGCAATTTGGCCAGCACTTGATTTGCTTTTCCTGGGTGGGGTTTCACATCCAGTGCATGTTTTAGTCTCCGGGATGATGTGCCGCTATATTTTGTTCGGCGTGGTGATATTTAGAAAAAGATAATGAAGTTGGAGCTGCGACTACTGACTACCTACTAAGCAGTTGCTGTTTTTTCCCCCAACCACTGATGTGTTCACATGTGTGCAAACAATGAAGCACTGTAGAAAAATGTGCTTTCTGGAGTGCTGTAATTTTGCGCCATTTTGTTCTTTTGATTACAATCCAATTACAGGTTATGGGGATGTTATGTTTTAGCATTTACAGAGAACAAAACGTTGTTTAATCCACTAAATATGTCCTGATATTGCTCATCTCCTTCACCGATACGTCCTTTTTGTCTTGTCATGTATGCTAACTGGGAAGCTCTGTTGCAAGATAAATAGCTGCCGAAAATATCAAGTATTATCTGATTGGTCTTATTGTGATTGACTTGACAATTTAATGTGGAGTCATATTGCTTACAGCCTCTTATGAGTTTGACCGAAGCGAATAGTAGTAGCACGAGAAATGACAGACTCTACATCATGCTCCATACGGTGTTATTATCGTTGGTTAATGGTGTGAAATACCGACAAGCTTTTCAGGAATCAGTACTTTAGGGGTGGCTAAGAATAATGAGCACCTAGTTAAATATACTTTTGTATTTTCTCAGGTCATGAACAGTCGAAGCAATAACAGTTAGCGTTTGAAATGATTCCAATTAAATAACGAATTAGTAAGTGCTAGGTAGTAAGTGACACACGTGTAGTTAGAAAAAGTAGAATGGAGTTTTTTTTGTTGTAAAGTCACTAAACAGAAAGATGGAGATATATGGTTCGTGTGTATCAGCGGCCTCAAAAAAGTAGTGAGAAGTGATTGGCTGTTCGCAGTAGCAAGTATGTGTTAGGCAAACATTTTCCGAATTTGTGGAGAGTTAATGTAGGTTCTCTATATGCTGTTCAGTTGATTTTTTTTAAAATCTGAAGATTGCTAGTTTGCAGCTCTATAATAATGTGTACTTATTGGTTGTTTTTCCAACATGGAGAATGATTTTTCTTGACATCTAACTTTTTTGAATGTGCTTTAATCAGTCAGATGTACGAAGCAGCAGTGACTTCATTGTAGGATTAAACTGACTGAGTCGGAAGAATAGGCTCTTGAATGGTAGATAGTGTATTCATCGTCAATCATTTGCACTTTTTCTAAGAGTTTATGACTGCAATTGAGAGGGAAGGCAACTTAATTGGTGGCTTCATTATTTCTGAAGCAGATTAGTGTAAGATAGATATTCCTTCCACATGACATCTTTAAATTTTTAGCACCTTTGTCCCCATCACCACAGACCTTAGTGATCATAGATCGCAATTATGAGTTAAGCTGGAGAAGTGTATTCATTAATGCATTCGTTCATCAATAATTAGTAGAACATACCAACTGCGCTATATATTTCGCAGAAATAGAAGGTCTCACGAGATTCATAATGTCAGTGGGTTTCAACTGTCTCATCCAGGTTGGTCGACCTACGAAACCTTTTCTCAGTTGAATTGTGAAAACCATGCATGTATAATGAAGACTGGTCGTGTGTTATTAGTGATCATAAATTATTGGTGGGGAATAGTAGATGATAACACTATTAGCAGCAATCCATACTTGTCTTAAGAGACTGATATAAGTAAGAGTTCTATTAATTTTTTTTAGATCGAAATTTATAGTAACATGGGCTAGGAGCAGGGAAATTTTTCCACTGCCTTTCAGTAGCTGCAAACGACACTTTTATATTGTGTCTTAACTACTGGAAATGCTGAGACTGCAGTAATGGTCTGACTTAAATCTCGTGAAGAATGAGAATTCATTAGATCGATGAAATTTGTCATACAGCAGATGCAGGTGTCTGAAAGGGATATGATGAAGATGTATGCGTTATTAAACGCTTTTCTAATAACTTCGAACCTTCTCTTCACTAACTACCTCATGTTCACATAATCCGCACCCTTGATCAGTTCTTTTCGCAACTGAAAAAGTTCGTACATCACTTTATATGAACCAGACTATTATTGTAGGATTGATGGTATTATCGAGTTGTTGGATCTACAAAATCTGTGATATATTGTCTGGGGAGTAACGAACTGCAGCAACAAAGTGGACCTACTGTCAAGTTTAGACCCATTGCTATTACCTCACCTTTTTTAAAAGTTATGGAAAGACTTATTTTACTTAATCTTGAACCCTCTTTAAAGCCTTTCAATGACCCCAACCAGTTTGCCTATAAACATAGTAGGTGTACCTTAGATGCCGCTGCAGTTTTATGTCATAATATAGTCTCTAGTTTAGATAGAGGAGCTAAATACGTTAGGTGTGCCTTCCTCGATTACACATCTGCATTTGACTCTGTACCTAGGTCTCTCTTGTTAAGTAAGCTTGCTGCAACACAGAGTGAGAGCTGTATAAATAAGTGGTTGTATTCCTACTTTTCTGATAGGAAGCAGTACACTGTCTACAATGGAAAGTCCTCCACTACCTCACTTACTTTAGCTGGTGTTCCTCAAGGTGCTGTTCTTTCTCCTTTTCTGTTTTCTTTTTTCTTACATGACTTGCCCCATTCTGATGTAGCAACTTTTGTCAAGTACGCTGATGACCTCTCTGTCTCCATGCCTGTCAACTCTCAGTCAGACTGTTCCATACTAAATAACTTTCTCTCGGAAATTAGTCAGTGGTCCTCTTCAAACGGTCTTAAGCTGAATCCGTCTAAATGTCAGGTAGTAAATCTCACTTTCAGACGAAAACGTGACCTACAACAACTAGCTAGCTCACATGGTCCCACTATCATTGACGGCATAGAGGTTGAAACTACATCTAATGTCAAGTACCTTGGACTGAGTATTTCCTCCGATCTTTCCTGGTCTTCTCACATCTTGCTAGTGACTAGAAAGATGTTTCGCTTAACGTTCTACGTTAGGAAGTTTTGGCAGTCTGGTATAAAGCAGTCTTTGCTTTCTCAGTTTGTCAATTCCTGTATTCTACCCATCCCTCTTTACTGCTCCCCATTAATATTTCCTGGACTACTTAAGAAAGATTTTGCTTCGCTGCGTAGGGCACTAAAAGCTGTTAGTAGGGCAAGTGGGATTTCGTCAAACCAACTGGTTAACACCGTTGTGGATAGACATATAATGTCATGTAAGAAACTAGCGAATTCTATATTGTCAGACCCCGAACACCCTCTCTATACGCAACTCTCTCCTTGCATTTCATCTGGTAGAACTAGAAGCAACTATAGGAGGCTATATGCTAGGACTACCAAGTACAAAAACTCCACAATATCTCATTTGGCACAGCTGTTATGTGATGAGAAATCCGCAAGGTATGACACGATCAACTTACTGCGGCACTCTAACAAATAGTTCCCATTAGCTTTTGTTCTCCTTTCTTTGTTACTATTATATTGTTGCTCATATATTCTATTACACACTAATTTTATATTTCATATCCTGTGGTGCACTGTTTAAATATGTGAATGCAATGCTGTTCTTTTTTATTTCTCTTCTTTTTCTTTTGATGTTGTTGCTTTTTATTTTTAAATTCTTATAAAATTTATGAGGTAATTAGATGCAATATTGTAATGCACGCTGAAAATTCCATACATGTACCACAAATACTGTTTGGAATGAAGCCATTTTTATTATTATTAAGTCATAAGGATGCGATTCTCTAGTATGGTATGAATTTTTACCATGTAGATTACAATCCACACACACTTCACCATCAGACCACAACGCTACTCTTTCATACTGCACTCTTCGTTGTATTCGGTCAACGAGATTCGCCTTCGTATGGTATCGCTTCGCGGTTCTCTGAGCTAAGATCATGTGTAGTATCTGTTCTTTGCAGTATTATTTCTGCAACGGTCTTTTGTACGTCGGTGGCACAGCGGTTATGACTCTCGCCGATCATGCACATGGTCCGGAGTTCGATCCCGTGCCGACGCACACCTGAAATCAATTGGTCGGCCTGCAAAATTTGGGCTACCGATATCACATGCTGAAAATTCTATACCTGTACCAAAAAATACGGTGTGGAATCAAGCTGTAATAAAAAAAATTTAAAAATTGCATTGTAGTTATCACTAGGGTAGGTCGGTGGTCCAGCGGTAGGTTACTTGTCAATCACGCCTGTGGTCTGGAGTTCGACTCTTGGTCGACGCACTCCTCAACGTCGCTTAGCTGGGGCAGATAAGCCCTTAGAAGAAAGTGAATAACATACCACTGCTACCGGGACTTTGAAGCTGTAGGCTTCAGTGGGAGTGTAAAACAATAAAATAAACAATAAATGTAAACAAGGCATAACTGAGAACTGTTTTATTCAGATATATAATTTATTTATAATGACGATAAATACTTGATTGTTGAAAGTTTGCATTGTTGTGCTTTTCGTGTAAAAAACAAATTATGAAGACTATGATTATACATATATATATATATATATATATGCGTTACTTAGCATTATCTCTAAACTATTTGTGTTCTTATGTGTGTGCGTGTGTGTGAACTGTACTTTTGTTTCTACCTTGTCGTTCGATTTCCAATTAGTTCTGGTTAATTTCCGACTGCATCCACTTTTTACATAAAGTCTTGAAAGCTATATATATATATATATATATTTAAACACTGAATTTCGGTTGGATGATTTGTAATTCGTGCAGGATAGACTGCTTGTTTAGTTGTACGACTGCTTCAGTGTGGTTTCCTCCAGTAGCTTTGTCTGCGTCCAGTTGACGGCCATTTATTCCGTATATACCTTCTGCACTTGTTTGATGATCACTAATTGTATCACACGTGAGATTTCTTTCTTTGAAAGGCCAAACATCAAGAGGTCCAACAGAAAAGACTTTAGCCAGCTGAAATTTAATACAAGTGTCTTGATGAATCAATGTATAATAATAATAATAATAATAATAATTTGGGTAATATATATTAATTCTGTTATTGAAAGCTTAGTCTGAATGAGTTTCAACATAGGAGTTTGCACAGACATGCAGCAGTTCAAGTTGCCACAGTCTTTATAGCACACAGGCATAATAGATAAAAACGAGGAAAAAGAAATTCGAACAAACGATTAATAAACAGAAATGTAGGCGAGAAGGAATACCGATATAGAAAGACATGATGGTTTAATGGATAGAGGACATCACAATAAGTGATGAATACATTTTTGGCCAAGGGAGAAAGGAGGATTTTGAGCCATACCACCAATTGTCTCCAACCATTGGTTCTTAGAATTCCAACGATCCGAAACAAACAGTCAGACAATCTACACCTGCCTGTGTGGCTGAAATTAACTGTCAAAGAATTCATGAACTGATTCCAAGTTTTGCTTTGACTACAACTACTAAAACTAGATCTTTTCCAACCTCTGCTCACTCGGCATACGCACCATGTGTCCTTACCATTTCAATCAATGAAGCCTCGTAATCTCATTGGTTAACTTCTCTTCTCACCTGACACTTTACGCTTAACCTCATTATTGCTGACAATGTTATAGCACTTAGCACACGAGGTGGTCGAATACAGCTAGCCCTGGAATGTTTATATTGCCAAAGTTTTCGACCATATATATGTGAAGAATTTAACAGTGCTGTGTATAATATGGACATCTGAATGTAACAACACATGTCGCTCCGCTGAACACTAATGAAATAAAGGTAATTGGTGACTGTTTGAATCATACTCCATGGCCAACCAGCACCAGGGCTAATTTGTTTCCTCATTGAATCGATCATCGATATTCCCAGTGTGTATATTGTTAAGGAACTTAGCTGTTGTTTGGCAAAAAGGTGTTGTATTAACTACCCTTCAGTTTTCGCATATTCGATAAAACCAGAGCTACCTTAATATGTATCTCTAGGTATTTTGTTTTTTTGGTTGGTTTCTTATTTTGCCTGATTGACTACGAACTTTCTATTATCTTGGTAAGGCATAACTCATCGTTTACAGCGCTTAACTTTTATCTGGTGCGTTGGAGGTTAGAGTCCCGATTCACCTATATCAGTCTGAGCAACTGAGTAGTGTTAGCGGCGTTCATAGAGTGGAACACGGAAAATGTGTCAGCGATGGCTCAGTTCGAACTATTTTAATATTTTTATTTATTGTTCCCTTGGGTTCCTAGTGGAATATAGGGCTTCAACTGCACGTCGCCACTTGCTTCTGTCTTCTGCTGTACTTTTCACCTGCATCCATGTTAGCCCATACTGTTTCAACTCCTCTTCACACGACCTCCTCCATGTCACCCTTGGACGTCCCACTCGCCGCTTCCCTTTCGGGTTCCACTCGAGCGAGGGCCTGACGCGTGATGTCACCCAGCGGCCTCCTCCTCAGCGAGTGTTCAATCCATATCCACTTTCTCCTGCATACTTATTGGCCGATTGGTTCTTGTTTTGTTTGTTCCCATAGTTTCTTGTTGGTATTTGTTCTTTCCGGCCATCTGATCTTCAATATAGAGCGAAGACAGTTGTTGTTGATAAAGGTCTGCAACAGGCTGTTGGAAATATTCTTTGTGACACACTGTCCAAGTTTCTGATCCGTATAGAAGAACTGACTGACTTGACGTTTGTATTGAAAATCCGAATTTTGTTGTTGATGCTGAGTGACGAAGATTTCCAGATTGGTTTCAGGTCGCCTTCCCGATTCTCGACTTGACATCCTCGTCCGTTCCTCCTGTAGTTAAGACAATGCTCCCTAGATAAGTGAATGAAGTAACTTCTTTCAAATCCCTCCCGTTGATGGTGATTGGCGCTGGATGTTGCTGCTGCTGTTGTTTTTGTTGGTTGGTTATTTTCATAACCTTCGTCTTGTCTATGTTCACCTGGAGTCCAGTCTTCTCTGGCTGCTTCTTCGACCAGTTTGTCGGTTTTCGCTTGTAAGTCTTCGATTTTGTGTGACATCAAACATAAATCACTTACGCGCGAAATCCAGGTCTTCTAGGTTCTACACGTCTGTCCAGGATATCCCTGTCATCTCGTTTCCCACTGTCTGACGCATAATCCAGTCCACCACAATTGGGAATATCATTGGTGATGATACGCACCCTTGTCTGACTCCTGTGTTTACTCGAAACGCCTCGCTGAGTTTTCCGTTGTGGATCACTTGACATGTGCTGTTGTCGTACAGCTGTTGAATAAGGTTGATGAATATTCGGGGGCACGCCGTAGTACTCGAGTAATTTCCAAATTACTTCGCAGTCAACGCTGTCGAGGGCCTTCTCAAAATCTATAAAGTTGAGGTAGAGATTTGATTGCCATTCCATGCTTTGTTCTATGATGATGATGCGTAGAGTTGCAATTTGGTCAGAACATGATTTGCCTTTCCTGAATCCAGCTTGTTCTGGTCGGAATTCTGCATCCAGTGCGTCCTTTATTCTCTCCAGGATGATGCGACTCAGGATTTTACTTGGCGTCGACAGGAGCATGATTCCTCGCCAGTTCTTGCAGAGTCCTAAGTCTCCCTTCTTCGGTAGTTTCACTAAGTAACCTTTCCTCCAGTCAGTAGGCACCTTTCCCCCCTTCCAGACCTTTTGCAATAATACAGTCAGCATATCTACTGTCGTCTCTGGGTCCGCTTTCAGTGCTTGAGAGGTATTCCATCTGGTCCAGCTGAGTTCGAACTAGGTTTACGCAAAATGAAAGATTATTATAATAGTGTTATTCACCCTTTGGCAGATTCTGGAACATAGGCACATTCAACGGCGTCCAACAGTTTCCATTTTTCATGACCTTAATGCGTCACCTGACTCCGTCGACTGAGAGGTATTATGGCAGTGTTCGGAAGTGAGGAGAGTGCCGAGAACGTACACCGCACTGATCAAGGCACTATACTCGAACTTCCGCAGCTGTGTAAGAGCTTACGGAGAGTTTTCGTCTGAAGTGATGACAACCAGTGGTGTCTATCAGGGACGCTCACTGTCCTCATTATTGTCTACTATCATCATATATATACTAATAGAATAGTCTCTAACTGACTTCAGCAAACTAGGGATTGTATTGTTACCAGGGAATAGCCTAGTTGATTTAGAATACGCGGATGGAGACGCTGATAAAATGCAGTCTTCTGGACACCATGAACAGAAATCGAATGTTTGGCAGTCGATTTGCTCCTGTCAAATGTAAGATGATGCTACAGGACTGGACTACACCGACTCCTGGCTTTACTTATTTCAGAAGTTGCATCTACTCCAGCATGCTGATCGTTGTCGAAATCTCAGCATTCGCCAACTTAGGCCATGTCTGACGTAGTATCCGTCTGTCAGTCGAAGGACGTGTGTGCTGCTCGGCAGTTCTCTCCGCCCTCCTTCATGACTGTGAGACATTGCAATTGAGGGTGGAAGGTATGGAAAGCTTAGCTGTCTGCATTCTATCTCCCATGTTAGGTGGTTTAATAGGGTGAGTAATATTGAGGTTAACCATAGAGTGTTAGGTAAGGAGAGAGAGAGAGTCAACCAATTAGGTTGTGAAGGTGAATCGGTTGAGATGGTTAGGAAAAATGTTGCACATTCCGATCCATCGCTTTCCACGATGAGTAATATTAGCTGATGTGTGATTAGGCAGGGGAAGCTTTAGAGGTGATTAAACGAAAACTTGGAATCAGTCCATGAAATGTCTGGCAATTAGTTTGAGCCACGTAGGGATGTGTAGACTGTCTGACAGGCTGGGGTTCTCGGGATGATTAGAAGCAATGGTTGGAGACAGTTTTGTGATATGGCTCAAAATTGTTCTCAATGACGCAGATGTATTCACTCACTCTCTCTCTCTCTGATCACTCATATCCACTAAACCGTTTTGTTTTTCCATGTAACTATTCTTTCTCGCCTACATTTCTGTTTATAATCGTCCTTCCAAATTTCTTTTTTCCGGCTTTTGTCTTGGTTTGTGGGGTACGTGGAGTGAAGGGAGTTGGAGTGCTGCACATCTATGCAAAGTTCTTTGTTGAAAAGAGTCAGTCATTCAACCAGACGTCAGTCCTTGAGAGGTTTATGGAATAACTTTACTTGAAATGGCATTGGTGGCATAGCGGTTAGGACGCTCACCGACCATCCAATTGGTCCGGGGTTCGATCCCCAGCCGACGCACTCCTTTACCTCACTAAGTCAGATATAATGCTGGTGAAGAGGAAAGGTTGGGCATGAGGCTAGCAACCCCATCCTGTCAAAATAAACACTGCTACAGAAACTTCAAGCCACTAGCTTGCAGCCCTATGTTCCACTGGGGAACGTGAAGGAAAAAAATTACTTGAAATGCTAATTTGTTAGAAGATCAGCTCTTAAGATTGCGTGCTCGAAGTATATTAAAATCCACTCAGTAGCTTATAGGTAGGAATTGTTACTCCTGTGTCTTTCGACTTTTGATGCTTCGATGGTGTTATTGCTTGTACAGGGTGGTAGAGTTTCTGACGTCACGCTTAACACTCCCCTTTTTCCAGGCTTACGACAGACGAGTAAACTAGGTGTGTGTCAGTGGGGAATTGAACCTGGATTATATGCGTGATTGGCGAGTATTCTATCATTGAACCACTGACACGTTTAGGTAGGAATTAATAGTGTCACAAGTAAACCATCTACTGCTCATCCACGTTAGTATAACGTGTATATTTGGTGTATTCGATGAAATAGTGGAAGCATCCCCTTTTTAACTAGTGTTTAGTTTAGTAGGCTAAATTCCGCTCCACCAGACTGGATAACCTGGTGGTATCATCAGCTTTCAGACAACAAATGTGGTTCAAAGCCAGAAATACATAAAAATCTTTTCTGGGTAATCGAGTTATAATTAACTAACTAACTTGATAAACGGTTAGATGGTTTATAAGAATAACTTAAGTAACTGTTGGATTTCATTTTTCTAGTGAGAAATTTACTAAGTACTTCTTATAAACTGTTCAATTCGATGCATTATTATTATTATTCGAGATATTGGATCATCAGCCGGTGAGTTATACGCTTGAAGCTCTTTTCACGCAGTCAATTAATTTACTGACCGTGTGATAAGATTTTTCACATACAATTTCAAACGACTAGAATAGAACTTCCTCTGCCTCTGTGTTTTAATAATGACTTGCTTTATAGACTAAGAACAGGACTTCTCCTTACCTGCAGTTGTGTTCAGATTAAGGTAATTAAGAAAATGCTAGTGAAATATAGGAAGTTTAATGACTAGGTGAGGATGATTACTGAAAGAGTACTGGCGGCGAGTAAATCCAATTTCAATAAAATCGGGGCGGTGAGATATCAAAAACATTTAGTCTGCTGCTAAAGTAGAAGATATAAACCCCATTTCGGTTAGTTTCAATATTTTTCAGATTCATGAACTTCGTGACTATTACCAGTAGACAGACAGTTCTTGAGTTCATACCAGAGTATTGAGTGACTAGCAACGTCTTCCTTACTGACTTAATTATTATCCGACTTGATGGAATTTATTCGTGACCGGTATTGTCAGCTTCACTTGAGGTCAATTTTTCTCGGTGATTCTACCGATTCAGTAGCTTCATTTTTGCTTATTTGTTTCAATGAAATCACTTGGTTAAATAAAGTAAAGTGGAAAAAGTTTCATTTGACAATTGTAATTACGATATAAGGAAAGCAGATATAGTATATGAAACATTTGTTGCTGTTAACATTTCTAATTCGTTTTAATTAGACATCAAAAGTGTGTCCGTGATCAGTGGTCGATTGCTCACCAGCTACACACACATAGTTCGGGTTTTATTCCCAGCCGACACACTGTCTAAGCTTCACCTAGTTAACTGGCTGATATTAAGCTAAGCAGAGAGGAAGGGTTGGGCGTGAGGTTAGAAACCCGTAAAAGGAAAACAATAATATCTCTGCTCAGCCTTCAACGTTTGAAGCCCTGTGTCTCACTCGGAACACAACAAACAAAAAAAAGCAAAGTCTCTTAGCTTCCACAGCATGGAGTTTTGCTTATACTCTCTTTATCTTGAGTTTAACAAAATCATCAATTAGGCTAGATTCATGTTATTGTTATTAGATGTTAAAAGTCAGTCAGTAAAGCGGATTACAGTCAACACATTTGGGATTGGATAGCGTCTAGCGAACACTGTTGGTCGAACATTTATTTTCATAATTAAGCACTATACATCGGTGTAACCAGACCAGCCTAGACTTCAGATCTGTTTATATTCAATATCATAGTTATATAAAGTTTTTGTAGCGGTTAATAATAACCTTCCATAAAATCAGGTTTTTACAGAATCATCAACCCTTAGCTTTATTGTGCTAAACATCGTCCAATCGATTTGGTTAGATAGAAGGCATGTGGTTAATTACCCTCACGATTCAGTAAGCTGTCGTGTTACATTCTCTTTCTTCGCTTTGTCTGGTTAGCTAAGCATGGATGTCAACTTAACAACGCCCACACTGAAATATATATATATATATATTTCGTATTTGAGATGATCAAACTTTAGTTCTTACTCGGCCTTATTAACTACTTCTCGTCCAGATCGAATAAGTACATTCAAGTTGAAGGGATACTATACATGTATCGAATAATTCAAGCTTATAAATACTACAAATATTATAACTAAATATCCTTTGAAATCAAACACGAATGCAATATACTTTTTAAAATACACAAAGAAAAAGCGAAACACAATCATTTACCTCAAGATTACAACCGTCTTTTATCAGAACAATGAAGAACACCAACGGAATCATACTGATTGATACTCCACTCATACACCATCCTAAGTAAACTGACCATTGGGGATAACTGTAGAATTGTGAAGTTCCATGCAGAGTGATATTCACCACTTCTGTATTGTTGACTAAAAACTCTGGATGCCTTGCACCGTAATTGTACTGCAATGGAGTTGGATCTATAACTGAACTGACTATCATTACCTTGGACAATGAGATGAAGGAAGACAAAGAAACACAGTTTTTTAAATGTAAATCATCAAGTATAAGATTTGGGTGATGTGTATGGAAGATTGAAAGTAATCTCTAAGCTGGATTAAAGCTCGAGCTGTTAGTTGATTCCATACCATCCATTTCACATATCGCTTTGTATAGTATGATGCTGAACTTATACGCAGTTTTCGGATCCAATTTTCAATGAGATTAATTCAGCTTTGAGTGCTCGTTAGATTTGCACTGCTCACGTAAAACGATTTCCGCCGAAATCACTCGTTAGGCTTTCAGTGTTTTGTGTTCGTTTATTGTCTGAAAACTATAACTGTCCGTTTATACAAGTTTTAGAAATTTGTTAGCTAACTACTGATTTGAAGCTCTGAAAAGCATCCTATCCGATAGCTGCTATCCTGATTTGGTGGTTGGAATTGCATACCACAATAACACAATGGGTTATACTGGCTTGAACGAATGCCTTTGCTGGCTGTAACATGCCAGAAGAGTTTTTTAAATGGCGGTTAGACTAAATGCACTTACGATTAAAGTGTAAGTCGCTCACACTGTGCACACAGTCTGAGGGCGAAGCCGTACCATTAGTGGGTAGGAGTTTAAGAGTTGTTTTCTGGTGGACGATCAGGAAGCTAGCTATGTTTCAATTTCACTGCATGAGTTAAAGGTTAACAAAAGTACGCCTAAAGAAGTGTACATCCCTACTTATCCTTCACCGGAACGGAGATGACTCAAATGCATCAGTTCAAATAGCCATAAAATTCACAAACTCACACGAGCACACGTATAAGAAAAAGAGTAGAAATACAGTAAGAATGTAATAAACCCCAATTATGCTGGAGAGACAATAATTCCATGAGGATCTAGTGAATCTCAGAGATCACAATAAGTGAATGCATCTGTGACATTGCAAACGATTTTCAGCCATTTCAACAACATTCTCCAACCATTAGTTGTTTTCATGTCGACGACCAACTAACAGTGAAAGACCTCATGAATAGAAAGCATGTTTCGTCTGATTATCCTTTACTCTTGTCCAACCCAACAGTACTCATAATGAAAGGCAGTGACATACTATGCGCAACACATAATAATAATGGTTTGCTTTATTCCAAAACGGTACTTATGATACAGTGGGGAATTCTCAGCATTTAGTACAAAACACTTTCTCAGTTATTGTGGCTTTGTAATCTCATCGACTGACCTTTCCTCATTATCTAACACTATATTCCTTACCTCATTATTACATTACTGCCTACCACTTAATGTGAGAGTTTGGACGCATGTCATATCTTGCAGTCATAAAGATGGATGGAACAATCGGTGATCAGCACACCCATCATATATTGGATAGCCGGATACCACGCCTGGGCTGAACAAGCCTTTTCTAATCATGGTCAGATGTTGCCACTGTCAATTCATCAGAACAGCTAACACTTTGCAGATAAGTGAAGTGGCTAAAAATCCTGTAACCATCAGTAAGATCTTATATGTAAGACGTCTACACAGACTGTATACGGTCTGTGTTTGGTTGGCTTCAAGCGGCTGTGTTGTGGGCCCTACAGTCATGCAACACTTAGGAGTTGTATCTTTCAGCTAATCTAAAAAGGATTAGCATCCACCACAGCCACCCATAGGTACATAGAATTATTCTTGTCATTACCTTCCTTGTATCATCCCTATAATACCGTTTTTTAGTTAGCTTCTTTACTTTCTGTTAACCAGATCATCAATTTTGTAGACTTATGACAAGTTGGGAAACAGGTCTCCTCGGCTTTAGATGTAAGCTGTGTCTGTGATAAACTAATACAAGCCAACTATGGAGATAAAAAAGCCATATAACACAACCCATCGATGGAAAGATGGTGTAAGACTACCTCCTCTTCTGGAACATGCTTGTGGACTGCTGTTATACACTAATCTGTTGATATTATTGCCTGCAACTAGACGAAGGTACAACACAAGCAGTTGCGAAGTCCTTACTACTCGGCCATTTAATGAGAATATGGAGCCTGTTTTTATTTGAAAGATAGATAAACACATCTAAGTATGAAAGCAATGCTGATTTAATAAGCCTTGTGCCATATCCTGTTTGCTGTCGAATCATTGATAGAGGCCGCTGGTAACTTACAACCAAAAGTTGGCAGTGGTCAGTGGATCTACGAAACCTTAGCCGAATTGATACTTGCATGTAGATTGAAAACTGAGGGCTGCGAACACAAGGATCAAGAGCAGCTCAAACAGAATGAAAGAAATCTCCCTAGAGACGATGAACTCTGGTGGTTGACAAAAGAGTAAGAAGTGGAAAAGTCATCATTATTAGGCAATACATATGAACTATCTAGGCTGAGTATGGAGACAATTTATGCAAAACCTTTGGCAAGTTAAATAATTTTCGAGAAGAATAGGATTTTAATTGCATCTTCTTAGGAAAGACGGCTAGGACGTTCAGGCAAATACTTTGAAGAGTAGTTCAGCTGGCAGACAACTCCTGTCTGAACGGGAAGTAGATGTTAGTCCTCTGGTGATAACTGAGGTTGCAAAAGCTGACGCAAAACAGCAAGACCTAATGATATTACTCTATAGGTGTTTGGAGATGGTACTGGTGAGTTGTTGATTAGATTACCTAAGGTGTTAGCTATGGTATTCAATTCCTGTGATTTGTTATAGATCGTGGATCATCTCAATTTCTACAGGAAGGATACTAATATTCTGATGATAACCACAGGGTAATATGGTTGTCTGACATAGTATCGAAGAATTTAAGTCGCACAGACTAAGTGGGGCTCAGAAAAAGCAGACTGAAGGAAACTAAATCAGTGTTATATTCAAATGAGGTTAGAATAATATTATTTTCACCCCACCACAGGTTCTGGAACAAGCATAATTACTGGGGTCTGATACTTGTCATTTTTGTTGACATGAAAGAGGCAGAAGAAATGTATTTGCCAATTAAGGAACTCTGCTCGAAGTGATACAGATGTGTGAGTGCTTCTGGAGGGTTATCATCTGAAATGATGACAACCTCTAATATTCACTAGGGATGCCCGGTGTCACCATTCTTATTTAACTTGATTACGCATATAGTGATAGAAATGACTCTGACTGAATTTACCGAATTAAAGATTGACTTGTCACCACCGAACAGGTTCGTTATTGTCCTAGTAGATGAAGACGCTGATAGAATCTTAGAGTCTTCTGAGTACCTTGGACAGAAATCGTAATGTACTCAGCTTTTCCCAGCTGAATGAAAGATGATAATGCAGGACTGGACCGCACTGACTCCTAGTTTAAGGATAAGGGTGACATGGTCGAATTTGTTAAGCATTTTGACGAATTACATCAACTTTAATGGGTTGATTGGAGACAAAATTTCAGCAAATATATAAAGGACTCGTTTGGTGTTTGCCAACTCGCATCACCGTAGGTGCAGGAGTGGTAGCTGTCGGACCACCAGCAGCAGTTCACGTTGTCCTTATTTACGGCTACAAAACATATCCGTTGAAAGTGCAAATGAATACTTTCGATTGCTCAAACTAAGTAGTTTTACGTGGTCAGTCGTAATGAGTTTATGCAAAGAATGTTAGGTGTAGAGGGGAGGTTGTGAAACTCCTAGTATTGTGTTGTCTTGGACGTGTTTTATGAATCCTAAGCCATCGTCTTCTGCAACGACCGATTCAGCTGATATATGATGATTAGGCTGAAAAAGAGTTGGAGGGTGAGAGAGGAGAAAACATGCCGTCAGTACATGACATCTTTGACTGTCTGTTTGAGCTATGTATGAAGGTGCAGCCAACTTAACTGAGGTCTTTCAGATGCCAAGAACCAATGGCCTGGGACAAAGAGTGATATAACTCAAAATGGTTCTCAATTTCCTAAGTGCTCCCGCTCCGCTTGACCTTCCAGATCCTTTTATTATTCTCATTTATTCATTCCATGAGTTCCCAGTTAAACTTGGGAATAAATCTCTATTGCACCAAGTTATTTGTCGTAACTTTCAAATAGCTCCACAACTGTTCACAAGCTTTCTTTTCCACTTCACAAGATTTCCATTTCGTTCTCGGACACCTATTTGGGTTCTGTTAGACAGGCTGGCATGTCACGTCACTTGATATCTTCTCAGAGTATATCCGATCCATCTCCGTCTCCTGCGGCATGCATTTTGCGCAACAGGTTTCACTGCCTTCCAGAGTCCCTTCTTGCCCATCATTTCTAGTCGACCATCTGGTCTCCAGTATCGAAAGCACCAGTTGATGACAGTCTGGAGAATGTCGAAAATTCCTTTTGGTGACGTTCGGGAAAAATCTCTTAACCATTAAGAAGTATTTGCTTGACAGCGGTGTCAAAAAATTCTGATCTGTTGTGGAAAGCCACACTGATTTCAGAATAATGAACGCCTAGTTTGCCTTTTGGATCCTAGCTAGATGCCTTTCATATCCTTCTCTGTGCCTTCTGTGGTTGAAAAGATGGTGCCTGAACAAGTGAAAGAGGTGATTTCCTCTAGATTTCACCTGTTGTTGGCGTTTGGTGCTTGTTTTTGTGGGTTAGGTATCTCCATCTCATCTACCCTATGTTCACTTGAAGTTCTGTCTTAGCTACTTCTTCTCTAAACTTGTTGGTTTTTACCTGTGGATCTTCGAGTGTTTGATACTAGAGACATCATCCACAGAATCTCCTCGTAGATCTACAGACAGGAAATTCATCAGTGTCAGTAGGCAGACATGTCTTCACTTGAATGGCTTCCCTGAGTTTTCTGTTGTGAATCACTGTTCATGTTGCTTCATCACGTAACCAGTGAATGAGGTATATAAATGTTTGATGCACTCTGTTCTGAGTGGAGTTTTATATCCGCTGTATATTTTAGTCCCTCCCGTATGACATGGGTAAAAATACTTCTCTCGGGGTGGACAGAAACGTGATTCCACACCAGTTCTTGTTAAGGCTTAAGTTCCCCTCCCTTAGTAATTTAACAAGTTATCCCC